CGAATGGAAAGTTTTAAACACAAACGTATGTTGTCTAATGGTGTACGTACCTCAAAAATATTCGAGACATGGTGCAACATAATTTTAACTTAGGCGTGGGTATACTAGTACTTGGGCTACAATAATTATACAAACTTGGAACCAAGTTTGCAATATTCGATTTTCGATATTATCAGTTGCAACAGCAGCAGCAACAACAAAATAACAATAGCAACAGATGTGTATAACAATACGCATGTGCAGTACATTTTCAATCCTTAATACGATATATATATATTGCTTAGGTCAATTTTTCATGAATAGTTGTGTTTGTCGTTTTCAGTATCAATTATGTTATAGTTGAGTTCTAGAATATTACCTGTTTACTATTCGAATCGTGTAAGCATTACGTTGACACGAAAATACTGTTATAGTGAAACCAAGGTTACACACTTATCATGATTTATATTAAATGTACTATTAGGTGCTGACATTTTGTCGAGGATTTTGTACCTGAGATTTGGTCCGTACATGGAATAGCCATATGCAGTAAAAATATTGAAGTTAGTTGGGTTTGTATGTCTATTCCATCACGAACATTCTGAGCGAAAGCTTGAACTACAATAATAGTTGTATCATGTAACAATAGAAATCTAGACCAAGAGAAGAGCTCTGTGGTTAGATGGGTTATTGACATTACAGTCACAGTGTGTGTGATACGAAGGATATGAACACGATCAAAAATTATATTTCTTGAATATTCTTCGTCAATATCGTTCTGGATATATGTAAATTGGCCAAAGCTGTAGTGAAGGCGCGAAGTGACGTGGTAACGAGCGTCGTCCTATTGTACTTCCAACGTGTCCCCGTAGTCGGTGGTAAGCGTTCATCGCCTATGTGGATTCAGACCACAGTTTTATTTATGAAATTCCGGTGAACATGACTATTTATGAAATTCCAGAAGACCTTTCTTATTGGCATAGGGATGATAAGAATTGATTGTAAGACCGGGCAAAACATGGCCAGAGTGGGAAAACGACTTCTGATCGGAACATTATTGCCATGTAATCGTAACGAAATAAAATCATCGAGCATGTTTATATCATTTTAAACTTATATTTTGAATTAACAAAACTTTAAGCGGCTTTTAGGAATAACGACTGATTATACAACTCAGACCGACACCTCTTGGTACATACATTTCGCCAGGTGTTCTGTAGGTACCATAAATACAATTAATCGAAGTCGGTTTTGATGTTGAAATTACAAAATCGTAATTCTTGCATATAAACTGATTGTTTTTCCATGCATTAGATAAATAAAATTACACCAAAGTGCAACGCATCTTTATTTTCAGATCCTTATAACGAACATGGCACGGCCGTGATTGTACACCTGGACTGGACAAAAGGTACACCTCTGACATTGAGAAATCAAACGAAATATCCCACGTTTAGCCCACCATCTGTACAAGAATACGACATAAATACACATAAACATGTACTTGCTATGTTTGTGCGAAGCATTTTTATATTGCTGGTTTTTTGTTTGTTTTTCAAAAATGTTTGACCTACCTGTGCTTCGACAGCCCGGAGTTGCCCACCTGTCGGCATACCTTCAAATACTGAAAATAAATCGCTTTCTGTAGCATCCAAACAATACTGTCAGAAAAAACAATTGTATAGTACGTATGTTCCGAAAGAAAATTAGAAATTGCAATTAATTAGTTATTGGTAACAATTCAGCCGTTTCTAAAAACAAGTACCCGCAAAGAAATATTCTTAACGATATGTGAATCAGCCGGGATTGGTCGGACGTCGATACCCGATTTGAATTCACACAGCATGAACTTAATTCTTCGCACATACATTTCACTCAGACAGAAAAATGTTTTTTTTTCATAGAACATCAAAAGGTAGTTTCTGCTAAGTATTCTTGTGCATTGTACTTAACGTGCATAGTGAGAAATGACAGATATTCACCACAATAAGCCGTTCTTAACTGTTCCAATTCCATGACGAATTTCCTATGGTCATGTAATATTAAAAAAGAAAACACACACGATTTTTCTGTTATTTATTTAAATTCCTCACACCGCTGGGCGCCGACAGGTATCTCTCCCATGCCGGAAAAAACTTCAGTATAACAAATTTGCAATCTGCATCTTGTCACAATGTCGCATTCATAAGGTTTAGATTAAACGCTAAAACCATTTATAAAGATAATTCGAAATTATGGGAAACAAATCGAGAGATGATTATCTGAAAAATATATTTGTTATAGATTGTACTATTCCGGATGCAAGATAGTATGTTATCAATAGGCGCCGTTAAAATCGGCAGACACGTCTACCTTTTTAATCACATACTACGAGCGACAGTACTACGTTTTGGGCGGGAATTTATTTTTGGACATCCGGACAATTCTTACAGATCTTGGTAAAATAAGTATACACACATTTTAATGCACATAGACAGGGCGTATCCCGTAGGTGTGCAACATACAATAAAAAATGAGTTTTGAAAGACACTTGCAACGCTGTATACTGTGAGGTCCAGAATACTGGTGCACACATGGAATAGAATGGTCTGTATTTCAAAGTGTGTTATTTAATATGATAGCAAGCCATAAGATGTGTGAATATAAGTATAGCGAAAACGGGACTGGTTTTTGGAATGACGGACTGATACAAAAGCAGTCGACTAGGTCATTTTTTTCTGATATTGCCAACACGAGTGTAATTGAATCGACTGTCATTTAGGACTTTCAACACCGCACAAACCATTCGTTTTAACTCGTAATAATATTGGATATTTGATTCATTGTCTTCGTGTGTAAAAATATCCCTGCTATGAAAGCTATTGCATTTGTCGTCTATGTTTAATTTAATTGTAGTACGAGACCTAGTACATGAATTTTATTAAAATAGTCGCTGAGATTCAACGTTTGTGAAGAGTCCAATACACCCCAACGGCTGATTCAGCATTATCGAGAACATGGTTCTTTTTATTGTAAAACTAAAATCAAAATATTATTGTGCCATTATTTATCCGCAGCTGGGTGTTGTTAAATACAGTACTAGACGTGATTTCAGAATTCAAACCTCAGATCACCAGTTACCATTTTATCATATATATATGTAATGTTTTCCCCTGAACAATATGTGGACAGCGGCGAAATGCAATGAAATCCGTTGATCTTCGAAGACAATGAGTAAAGTTGTCGAACTGAAATCAAAATGTACGCGATTGATTTGCAAACTGAGTTCGTAAAACGTCTGTTAGTAGTAGTGTTTACAAAGTACTCGACCATTATGTGGTCGTGGTAGCATTACGAGTCGTGAGTCAAGGCACATCAGGACAAGCAATCAATATATATATATATATATTCAATGCACTAATAGGGTATACGTGCCACATTTTATTTAGCAAAATGCAGTTAAAATATTGTCATGTGAGAAACAGAGGAAATCCTTCAGACTTTCCAAAAATTATGTCTGATTTTTTTCAATAAACATGTTACATTTCGATTAAATATTTCGACTGAGCCGTCTCTGCGAACTGTGACGATGAATTGGTGCGTAGAAATTAAAACGATTTATTTTATCGCCTGCGCTATCGCCGGGTAACGCCGAAATGATCATGCATCGAGTTATGTACCATTTTATCGTATGTTTTTGTCAAGTTCTTTGAGAAATCTGAAGTTGCAAATGTGTTTCAGGAGATGTGAGTTTTGTAAACGTTTTCATATTTGTTAATCCGTGTAGGTACTGAAATGTAACTATATTTTAGGCGGTACCAAATTAACACACGTGAGTGAAAATGTTATACACATATACACATATGCAAAGAGCAGCTGGTCGCCCCCCAAAAAAACACACATTTCCTAGCTATTTGCATAATATTATCATAAATATATGCCATGTAACATGTAAAATCACCAGTTAATTTTGGCTTAGTATTTGCATGGATTTAAAATATGAAAAACATGGTATGTGAAAACGCAGCAGATGTTCCTTTAAAAGTGGTATTCACGGTGATGGAGGAAACCGCCGAGTTGTGCAGGTTTCAAATGTAGATTTCTGATTGCTTATTAAAAATGTTGCCGAACATTTCTTCAATTGCGATTGTTTACTTTAGTTTGGACGCGCTATGGTAAGAAACGATTTCCGTTCACCAGACTTGCTACCATCCGCATTCGATGGGTATCGATTGCTTGTAAAAGTTATGTCGGACCTTTGCTCACAGTTAGGGTCCCTTATAACGACTGGGCGGGAAATTCGACTAAATCTACCGCTATACGTCACATACACTGTAGGGGTCTCGCTCTGTTTGCACGTGTTTTCATCGGCTTCGTTTCACTTGCGACCCCTACCTGACACTATCTTGTGTTTTAATTGTATTGCCTGTTTTGATTGGTGTTGTGTTTGTTATGATATTGCTTTACACGCAGATCTTAATCTCAGAGTTTGGAGAACGGAGCATGCCCACAAACGGCTGTTGAAAAACTAAAGCCACCCCTCTAGAATGCGTGAATGTGGTAACGAACAAGTTTTGTTTTCAAATTTCTCCATAATTCGTCTCTACAAATAAACTCGAATAAAAGTTGAACGTTTGTTGTGTACTTGGTATTTCTCAGATGCCCGCAATACTAATATGACGTCACCATAATTAAAAAAATGTCCATCCAATGTTTATTTTATTATTTTTAGGTAATTATAGATGGACATTAGAAGAAACCCCAAATAGACAAATATTACCCGAACTCGACTACAACTCATATGGAAGTTTTCGTTCCTGAAAGTATTAGGCGGCCAGTCATAGTCACGGAATATTACGTGGGGAGGACTGTTTGTATCTGGAATAGCTAATAAAGAAGTGATTGGCATTTTGATCTATACTAGCGGAGTGTCCCACTGTGTACGGACACTCCCTCAACAATTGCCGAGAAAGTTTGTGTTTCATTTATCTTCGGTTCTTCAAATAGGACGGAACTGCGTGAGAGGCGCCAGTCGTTTATCTGTCTCTTGTACTGTCAACTTGTCTGGAGTACTCGGCCTCTTCTCATATGTGTACCACGTCGTACTTACCGGGCCAGTTGCTCCCCATCATGGAAGTGATGTCCACATTACACCACAGCAGCTCTATTGAGGACAGTGATAGTAGTTTTAACAGTAGTTTGAACGCATCACCACCGCCCCATGATATGGGTAGCGAAGACAACGCGGACTATTTCAAAGAGAAGCCGCGTTACACGCGGAAGAGGCGATATCGGAAGTCGGGAGATGATAGCGAACATGGGGGTAAAATGCGTCGAAAGCACGTGACTGCACAGACCTACGAAGATCTTCAGAACCAGCGAGTCATGGCTAACGTGCGGGAGAGGCAACGGACTCAGTCTCTGAACGAAGCATTTTCAGCACTCAGAAAAATCATTCCAACTTTGCCATCGGACAAACTGAGCAAAATACAGACTCTGAAATTGGCAACAAGATACATAGACTTTTTGTATCAAGTGCTTCGAAGTGATGAGGTCGACACACGGCTAAACATGCCGACCAGTTGTAGTTACGTAGCACACGAGAGACTAAGTTATGCCTTCTCGGTGTGGAGGATGGAAGGTGCGTGGAATATGGCCGGTAACAGCTCGCCCCGATAGCTACGAGTCGTCCACCCTTTACATACAGGTACGAAAAAAATGCAACACATTATATTATCTCTATGTAGTTTTGTAATAATGTAGTTATTAGTTGGGATAGAAGAGAGGTCGCTAAGCAACAGGCGCGTATTTCGGATGGCTTGGTATTAATATTATTTGCACTGCGTGTAACGGAATGTCGCAAAATACTAGTTTCGAGTCGCGACAGTTGGAAACTAGCGCGAATATTATAAGAGTAAGTTACGTATATGCTTGTAAACGGTTGAAACATTTGAACTTTCGTAGTATAGTTCGAGTGACTCATCAGACTGAAACGAATAGGACAACTACCGTAACTTAAAACCGTAGCAGTTTTCTCTGTCTCCCCTAATCTGCCCGGGAAACCGGCGCCTCGTAGCCACATCGTATTGCCCACGCCGCCTTCATTAGTTGTTTGTCTCCTTGATCTGTCTAATCTAATTTTCTTACTCAGGCAAACAAAATCTCACTTGATGTCGTGACATTTGCAGTCTGCAACTTTATTTGGGCTTATGTTGCGCACTGTCCCGGTGTTAAATCAGCGTGGTGCAGTTGTCGCAATTGTATCAGACGTTTAAAGCGGTAATGTCCTCGGCACGAAACAGTAATATTTCGTTTGAACAAATGTTGAACGACCTGGAATGATTGTTAAACGGAAAATTGATTTGACAATGGCCAGAAAATGTCCTGGTTTTCCACTGAGGTTATTCTTTTATTACTGTTGACATCCTGAAACCCCTGTGTCGTGTCATCCCCAAAAAGTAAAACCTTGAGTGGTTGGTAGAAACTCGATACCGTTTACTACCCCCATCTGCTAACATTGTTTACATCTCCTGTTTTTTGTTGGTCGTAAAATATATTACACATTATACACTTTATTTTTATCAAATCACAGAAATGTTAAGCTAAACGTGGTAAAGCGGCTACGAGTGTATCGGCTTGCCAGTCAGGCGGCTAGACAAAATGGCGTCGGCTTTACAGCAGGCCATCGGGGATTTCCTCCCTCTGTTCACTCAGGTCACTACCGCTACGAGTCACCTTTGCCGCGCTCCGACTGTGCCTACAAAGCGTGGTGGAATGATTTCGACAATAAACAAGAGATGAGGAAAGCAATCTTGTGTAGCTAAGGGGGATATTTGGTAACATTAACTGGCATCTCATTTGATTGCCGCCTCAGATAACCAATAATTCTATTAAAGCGTGAAAAACACCGAGGCCAAGCTGCTTCTCAAACTTTCAAACCTATCGGTCGGAAGTCCTTTCGTCGGCAGTGTGTCTATTCATGTTCTAAAACAACTCCTGTTACGTTAAGGAATTTTAAATTTACGTGCATATTTTGGCGATACCGGTTGACGCCACTGGCAACATATATCCTTCGTTTCTTCAATTTGTCTATATTTCCGTCATTTGAGTTAGTCTTACCCACGATACGTTATTTCATTTTGACGGAGTGTTCTTAAATATTTAGTCCGCAATTAAATTCAGTTCAAGACGCAGCGAGTGAGTGATAGTAACAGCTGTCCGCGTTCGTTTGCGTAGATCGTTGATATACTGTCAACGTGTCAGGCAAGTCTTGCAACCCAACTCCTCTTACCGCTTCAGAAATAAACTGTCGTCCGTAGATGCTCGTTTGTCATGGGACTTTGTTTTAGTAATGACGTAAACACTGTGTTTTTCTACCGAACTTTTCCCAAGGGTCGAAGAAAGTTGTCAGCCCTTTTACTCTGAAGGCCCGAGGAGATAATCGTTAAAGTCAACCCGGTTAACATATTGTTCTGCCATGTTTTGTATATTATCATTTGTACTCTCGGCGTTTCAAAAATGACATTTATTATTTTAACAGTGACGCGCTCTGTACTTTGTACGGCACGGAATATACCATGGCCTAGAGATATATCCAAAATGTCATAAACTTTTGAATCTAACGGGACGTACAGGCCGATGGAACGTACGTTCATTTTCGCGTATGGTGCAAGTAACCAGGTTCATCCATGATCTGTCGTACATGATGTGATGATATTCTGCCATCCTGTCACTGGCCATACATATTGTACATCGTGCAACAGGTACTGTCTCGCCCAGAGAACTAAATTGTGTGTCAGAACTGCCTAATTTTAGAGCTACGTCGCCAAAAGTATGGTTAGAATATACTGAAGTGATATCACGTGATGTAAGAGTAGCTGTACGTCTAATTTTGTTACCATTCAGCCATTTTCCAATAAATAAATAAATAAATAAATAAATAAATAAATAAATAAATAAATAAATAGTGTCTTTTTAAAGTGCGAAAGAAAACATACAATGGTGTGAGGCGAGTTTAGCTTCATATATTTACAGAACATAGATACACTAGGAATCATTGCATACTAGTATTGAAACCATCGCCCCATGCCCTAAACAAGAGGTCACTGGTATTAAGTGCGACACGCCCATTCATCAAATAGTATGTATCCATTTGGTCAATAAAGGCGAACGAATTCTCCACAGTGGATTGTTGTCGGACAACAACTTTCACTTTAAATAATACGTGTCTGACAACATGTTGTCACGTCTATGTTTGGGCGTTTTAGAAGAACATCACTATTTACCGCGTTACTTTCATGCTTTGGACTAAAAATTGGTAACGTTTAATACGTGTCAGCGTAACGTGTGTTTACCACATTAATAACAATAAGAGAATCCAGTACTATGAGTACATATACGCACAGGACGCCTTAGTTATTGTGATTGAACAACGTATATTGCTTCCGTGTTGTTGTTGTTGTTGTTGTTGTTGTAGTTGTTGTTGTTGCTGTAGTTGTTTGTGTTGGTGGCGATGGTGTCATGGTGGTTACTTCATATGAACGCGTATGATTGTAATCTGTCTAAGCGTACGTATTTTACATTATTAGTATTACAATTCTAATGTTTTTTTTGTTTTATTTCATTCTAGTGCTTTCAATGTTCTTCTATCTACGCGTCAGGTTATTATATGGTGTGGACACTTCATGTTCCCGTATATCCAACGTCCTAAAAGAAGAAGTGTTATAAAGTTTCCAGCCACATATAAGCAGAAAATCTGTAGTACCAGGCTTGATGAGTGTTTTAGTTCGGATCACTGAACACATGCCGACGGGGCCACTAAAGTTGGAAACAAACTGTGATATGGAACATTCTTGTCTGATGGTATTTATTATTCGGCAACCTCCATAGAAAACGATTTTTTGCGACCATGAACAAGTGTTTTCCTGAACTAATAAGAGAAACAAAACACTACCCGAATACTTCGCGTCCGTACTACCTAGGTCACAAGAATATATAATTCGTATATATTCGCTTTCATGTATCGTTATGGCGGAGTAATACAATAGTCACTCATTGGATGGTCATGGTACAACATATTTATCGCCCAGTTCATGTATTTATGTGTAATATGTTTCTAAACTGTAATGACATTAGGTCATAGTTCATACAAAATTGAAACTTAATCGACCATGTTCACTCCACGCAAATTGTATTAAAATATGACATGTAATCAAGACTATACTATTAGATTGTAGGTCCTTTATGACGCGTTTCCCCATCTATGACGTATATGTAAAGTTATGCGCTTGGATGAATGTGCAATGCAATGATAATGATCGAACTAGGGTACACATGTTAAAAAACAGGGTTATCTGCGTTGGACATGTGTTTATATATACCAAAGTTACTTCATGAGTGTCACTTGTTTATTCCAGATTGTACACTACAGTTAAAATGGCAATTATTGATATTCCACAAGGTGTTCTTCTCCATTCACTGTCCAGTACATTGTATATTGAAATCACTCCCTTATATTACATATATACTTTATGCATTGTACTTATTGATGGCATCATTCTCTCCAACCATGGTGACCAGTATTGTTATTTTAAATACTACATAGTGAGATATATTTTGTATAATCTGATACATGCCATGTTTTTCGTGGAATAAAATATAAGTTGGAATTTGTATTTAATGAAACAATGTACAAGTATATGTGTTTGTTGCCCCCTCCCCCCAAAAAAAACAAGGTCCGCATCAACTTAGAAGTTATTTTCAGAATTTATTAAATTAATTTATTTTGATATTTCATGAAAATGTAATTCTTTTTTCCCTTTTTTAGCTCCGCTGTCGACTTTGTCGAGCGGAGCTTATCATATGAGTGATTGTCCGTCGTCGTCCGTCGTCGTCGTCGTCCGTCGTCGTCCATCGTCCGTGTCAATGTTTTACTTTTTCGACTTCTTCTTGAAAACTACAAGCCTGAATGCTTTGATACTTGGTGTATATGTACCTTGGGTAGACCTCTCTTA